TATGTACATTTTTACCTTGTAATTCACAGGAAAAAATGTCATTGGGGTACCAAATGAAAAACACATGGATAAAATACTTGAAGAGAATTTACCATTTGCTGTGGGAATTGTCTTTAATGACACTTTCTCCTACAAGTTAAAATTTCTTCAGGGATACAACATTCCACTTTTGAATGAAGAAAGTTTTACAGGTGAGTTTCCAAATAAATTATCACTATGGAACCTTTCATGTTTCAATATAAAAAACAGGTAGGGATGGGCAACAGAGATGCATTCAATGGCACATTGAAAAATATAGAAAATACATTTTATTGGTGAATTTATTCCAAAGTCGATCATATCTTTCCACTAGAGGGATAACTCTCAAAAAATAGTACGGTCATCCAACATGTATTTATTGAGCTCACAGATACATGTTTTGAAAAATGTAGTGGTGATCAAAACTGACAGATCCCAGCCTCAGTTGAGATTCCAGTTTAGCAGGAGAGACAGACATTGAACAATTAATGACAAGTACAAGAAAAGGTGCTTGTGGGGATTTAGATCAGGGGTTCTAAGAAGCTGTGGCACTTGGGAAGTCCTACCTGGGGATGTTTAAATGAAGACTGGAAGGAATAGCAGGTGTGAAGTACTAGAGGCATTGCATCTCAGACAGAAGAAAGGTGAGTGTGAAGGCCCTGAGGTAAAAAGGGGCATCTGTTAGTAGATCTGGAAGAAGAGCAGTATAGCTGGACAAAGAACATGAAAAGGAACATGATGAGAGAATGAAATCTAGGGCAATGGATAGCCATTGAAGTACTTTAAACAGGGAGAAGATGGGATTACGTTTCCAAGCTAAGGGAGCACTCTGGATATAGCCAAGAGAATGGATTGCAGAGAGGTTAGAAAGAATGCAATGAAACCTACTAGTGAGCTGCTGGTGGCTCAGACCAGGTGGGGGCAGCTGAGAGGGAGAGGGGCCAGTGGATTAGAGTACTCTTTAGCAGGTAGACTCGACATGACTGATAGAATTAGCTCATTTCCTTTCATTTACTTAGTGCCTGTTATGGGCTCTACACTGTTCTTGGCTCTGGGGATTGAAGGGAACAAAACACAGAGCCTGCTTGCAGGAATCATTCTAGTCAGACAGGGGATGGAAAAACAATATACTCAGCAAAGCAAAATAAAGCAGAAGATAGAGACTGAAACAGCTTTTTTAGGTATTTCATTTATGGTGGTCAGAAAAGCCCTCTGTGATGAGGTTGCTTTTGATAGGAGATCAGGGTGCCGTGAAGGAGTGAGCCATGCATCTATCTAGAAGAAGAGCATTTGTATGCATAAAATGTTCGCGTACTGGGATGCATTTGGAACTTTGAGGTGCAGCAGGAAGTGCAGTGTGGCTGGAGCAGAGTGTTTGCTTTCATCCTCTTTTTATTTCCTAAGACTCCCTGAGCATGCTGTGGTCTGCATGAATAAAACTGCCTAATTAAGAACCTTCATTTATTTGCTTTTCCTATGTGGTTAAAAGTTCTGACTGGTGGAATCTCCTCTAGATTGTGTTCTCCTGTNGGTGCCGTGAAGGAGTGAGCCATGCATCTATCTAGAAGAAGAGCATTTGTATGCATAAAATGTTCGCGTACTGGGATGCATTTGGAACTTTGAGGTGCAGCAGGAAGTGCAGTGTGGCTGGAGCAGAGTGTTTGCTTTCATCCTCTTTTTATTTCCTAAGACTCCCTGAGCATGCTGTGGTCTGCATGAATAAAACTGCCTAATTAAGAACCTTCATTTATTTGCTTTTTCTATGTGGTTAAAAGTTCTGACTGGTGGAATCTCCTCTAGATTGTGTTCTCCTGGATTTTTGTTTCTTATTCTCCAACAGCCCTCATCCAGCAATGCTGGTTATGCTTTTCTTTGTACCTATGTGGTTAAAAGTTCTGACTGGTGGAATCTCCTCTAGATTGTGTTCTCCTGTATTTTTGTTTCTTATTCTCCAACAGCCCTCATCCAGCAATGCTGGTTATGCTTTTCTTTGTACTTATAGCTCATTGCTGGAAGGAATATGATGAGTTTTCATGTATTTTGACCACATACTGGACTAGAGGATTCGTGACTTTACAAACAGCCATTAATGCTGCTATTATACAAGTAAGTGCTTAATTGAAAAGTTCTAATAGTCAATGTAAACTAATTACAGAGGCATCAAGATTCTGATGAAACATGACTGTCTCTGTCTTCTTATGCAGCTATAACAAAATACCTGAGACTGGGTAGTTTATAAAGAACAGAAATCTATTTCTCACAGTTCTGGATTTTGGGAAGTGCAAGATCAAGGTGCCATCAGGTTTGAAATTGGCGAGAGCCCGTCCCACATAGATGGCACTATCTAGATGTCCTCACATAGTGGAAGAGCAGAAGAGAAAAAGTGTCTCAGCTAGTTTTCTCCAGCCCTTTTATAAGGCACTAATCCATTCATGAGGGCAGAGCCATCATGAGTTAATCACTTCCCAAAAGGTCCCACCTCTTAATACCACCACAGTGGAATTAAGTTGCAACATGAATTTTGGAGAGGACACTGTCAAGGAATAGAAATGATATATGCTCAAGTTTCCATATTTATACAATGAAGCAGTATTTAGATAAACATATTGCTTATGTATTTTTAAACTTTTAATTTTGAAGTGCTTATAGTATCACAGGAAATTTCAAAAACAGTGTACAGGGAGGCTCATGTACCCTTTTCACCCAGTTTCCCCCAATGGTAACATCCTGCATGACTATAGTACAATATTAAAACCAGGAAATTGACATTAGTACAGTCCACAGATCTTACTCAGACTTTGCCAGTTTATATCCTTTAAGTAATTATTACGTTCTTTTAAACCCTTCCTTAGATCACAACAAATCACTCTGTGATGGAGAAGTTGATGTCAGTTACTGCTACAAATATGAAGATATTACCTTTTATTTCTAATGACGTTCTCCAAAATAAGATGTTTATTTTATGCTGCTTGCTTTCTTTCTCCCCATTTATATATTTTATATCAGTCAATGTTACAAAAGAGAGAAAAAAATATAAGGATTTGATGAACATGATGGGTCTACAAGATTCAGCATTCTGGTGAGTGACTAATTCAAGTAGTGCATGTTAATAAACAAGAAAATTAAGACGCAGTGAAAAAATGTTATTGTTTCAGAACTTTGTGGTTTACACTTCATATATTGGCTACTTTTTCTTTTGTTCTGACTTTTTGATTTAGTCTTTGTTAAATTTTGCCATGCAGAAGAGTGATTATAATTTGCTGAGCACTTTTTCTGTGCCGTGAATATCTTAAGCTAACCCTGTGACAGATGTGTGGTCATCTAGCCTGTTAACAAGGATGATAAGGGTCAAAGAGAAGGAGAGATGTCCAATGTCCAATGGATGGTGAGTGCCAGGACTGGGACTCCAACCAAGGTGCCCTAATTGTAGCTCTCCTGCGTGGTCTGCCCGCGGTTATCAGTTGATTTCTCCAGTCTTTCTCATGTTAAAGAAAGTATGACCCTATAAAGACTAACTTATGTTCAGGGGCTTGGCCACCAGGCATATATTTTTTCGAGTAACAAAGTATTGTATTCTGGAGTTAAATGAGATAGCCTATGTAATGTGCTGAGGACATACAACACATAGGCTGGCATGTAGGAAGGACTTAATAAGAGCATTTGCTTCATATATTGATATTTATGTATCAATATAATTCCACAAATAATTTAAAGTGATTTTGAATATATGTGTGTACATATACACATACATACATGTATGTATGTATATACCTATCTATGTATTTGCATATTACATCGATAACTATTTGCTTTTATGCATAAAATAATTATTTGCATAAAAACAAATAATTGAGGAGTAGAAACAAAGGCCTAGTAAACTAATAAATAAGTAAGATTAGCAGATAGAAATGCAAATCATACAAGCTCTAAGCTTCCAAGAGGCCAAAGCAGAGAATTTTGCAATACCATCAGTGACAAACTCAACACTGTCTAGGAAAAGAAAAAAGGAAAAATAATCTGCTTATTTTATCCCACTTATTTTATCCCAAAAGAAACGTAACATTTTTGGATATTGAATCCTTGGAGATAATTTCTCTGTGTACTCCCCACATCAAGAAAAATACTCTTTATGGAGAGACATTACCTGGAATGGATGAAGAATTATTTATTGAACAATCCTTTGTAAGCTGTGTGTCTCTGAAATAAAATTATGATCTAGGAAATTTTTAATTTTCTGTAAAATACATATTAACAGAGAATTTTAATTCTAATATACATGTGTTGTGAAATAGAAAAAGAGGAAACCGTGTCTTATAAAAGAGAGAAGGAGCAGAATTTTTGCAGGGGAAGTTTGGGGAATACAAAGGAATGGACTTAGAGCCACACACAAAGTCTGTTAGAAAGAAAAAGAGGGAGGACCCTGTAAAAGAGACCTCCTTTCAGTCCAGAGTGTGTCCTGTGGGACAGTATCCCTGGAGTACCTGATATCACCGAGGCATGAATCAACCCTACATTAAAGTCAGAAAGGTCTTGGACATTTGGGTGTGTATTTAGTTCAGAATAAATGATTCTTAGTATGCATATAACCTAAAACTTAGCAAAATGAACGCATATATACCTCTTTAAAATTAATAAGGGAAAAGATTCTGAAATGTTCTACTAAGTACAAAGTATCTATTGAAAATAAATGTTATGACTTTTTTTTTTACTAATATAATAAAGATGAAATGTAATCAGTATTTATTCTTTAAGTATCATGACTGAAATACTTTGTTTTTAGCAAGAGGATTTTTATAGTTTTATTAACATCTCCTCCCCTACCCCAAG